AAAAAAAAAGACACATACACAAGAAATAGCAAAAATGCTGCTAGGAACATCCAACCCTTCCAAAAACAGCAATTCACCCCCTTGGAGCGTCTGCACCACCCCCACCTACTGTTGGAAGAGGCTGACCCCTACAAGGTAGAAAGCAATCCTAGAAATCCAACCCATTTCTAACTAGAAAGTAATTTTTTTGTTTTTACAGGGCAGAAACCTAATATCAAGAATTAGCTGCCCCACAACATGTCCGTCACTAGCTGGATGGATCACCCCACCTGGCAGTTTACCTCCAACCCCACCTGCCTTCTCCCCCCTTTCACCAGCCCCAACCGACCTGGACCATTCTCTGGTGTTTGGTTTTCCCGGTGCATTCGTACCTCGGCACACGGTAATGCCACCAAATCCGCATTGCCAGCACTTTGAAGAACAGCAAACGTCACCGTCGATGGTCGGCCCCGACAATGGTCCCTTGTCCCCCATGTCGATGAACCTGCTAATGGACAGAAGATGGGGGTTCACTCCTAATTCAAGTCCAGGAATAACACCTATGCAACAAGACGTTAGACAAGCTTTGCTTCAACAAGCCGCTGCTGGTGAGTTGGATCTGTGGTGGGGATGTGGGTGGGTGGGCCCACCTACCATGCCTCCACCTCTGTTCATGTCTTAAATGTTCCAGATGAACTAAAGATCTTGTATACATCCTCCCATTAGAAGATTTTCTCTGGGTCCGGTCAACATTCCCAAGACAAGGTGGGAACCACATCCCGGACCCCACTCCCACCAAACGCATTATCAATAATCAATTTCTCCCAAGATAACCTCCCCCACCCAAGACAAATCAGCACCTCCTGAGGGCTAATAGTTATGGTGTTACTAAAATGCTACCCTAATGAGAAAGGCCTGAAATTTCAATACAATTTTCTCCCATAACCAGCACTAAAGCCCATTTTCCACTAGATAAATTTGTTCGCACAAAGCAAAAAAATTTCGCCAATGTGATTGGTCAGCGAGAACTGCAAGAAAGTTGGATCAGTTCCTACTTTTTCACTTGGCACTTCGCACGAACAATTTTGCCTAGTGGAAAAGCAGGCTTAAGAGATTCAAGTCTGTATACATCAATTAAACTGTGATTACAATAAATTATTATATTTATGGCAATAATTTCAATAATTTTATGTTTATTTTAGCAACAAGCAATGAGGTGACTTATACTTGGAGTGGTCAACTGCCTCCTCGTCATTACAAAAATCCAACATATTCTACTAAAGTTTTCCTCGGTGGTGTTCCTTGGGATATCACAGAAAGTATGTATTGCCAAATCTTATTGTTAATGGGTCGTTCCAGAAAAGATCCATTTTGCCCCCAAGGAGGAAATTTCTGCCATCCGAAAGTTAACTTCTAATTTCTTCCGTGGGGAGGAGGTATGGATGTTTTCTGGAATGACCAGACCCAATATATCTCTGAATAA